AATGGCAGTGATATGCTGAAAGATGGTTTTATCATCTGCAAAATGAAAAATCCTCACTTTCCATTCTCAGTGCCACAGTGAACGCCAACAGCCACCAGCTTAGCCGTTTCCGGGCAATGGATAAAGTTTGGAAGATGTTCGCTTTCTCTGAAAAGTGTTTTTGTGACGAACATAGTAGAGTATCCCTGATTCTGGAAGACCTACGCATTATTATCATCTTCTGGAAGCTGCCTGTTCCTCCTCCTTCCAAGGAATGCGTCCCTGAAAAGCATTCAGATCATTTGCGATTAGATAAAGCTAATTTCAGATGGCATACAGCCTGTTCACGCCGAGGGCTTTCTTGAAAGCGCCTAGTTGTGCCACTTACTCATGCTCAATGCTTCCACTACTAAAAATCCATTTAGGCCAATGCTGTCATAATTAGGCTGGCCCGCCCAAGGTGCTACTCTCACGAAAACACAAAAGTGACCTGCCTATTTTTAAAGATCACATGCTACCTCGAAATATGAAATGTAGGCGCAATCAACGAGCCGGACGAGATACACCGGACTCAAAAGTTGAAAAATTGCCAGAAACCTTTCGATACACAAATCCAGATGGAATGCCAGTCTGGGAAGTTTCTCGATACGACCATTTCTGCACAAAATGATTATACCCTAGCTTTTTGGCCTGTTCCCGTCTTGCTGTAGCTCTCTAACACGACCGACGATGGCATACGGTGATCTATGCCACTTCGCTACAGTAAGAGATGGTCTCAACAGAATGTGTGGTTAACATTAAGTATACTTCATCGATTTGACAGTTCTACAGCTTTACTTCTGCCCGCGTCGATGGCCTACCCTGGCCTAAGCTGACTCAGAGTGTGTAAGGTAACGGAACGGTAGGAGAATCTTTTTGTCTCACCCTAGAACAGTAGCCATGAGTGCAGCGTGGATAATCGCACAGAACAATGAACCTCCCCGGAATCCATGCTGTTATCCTTAACTTTGATTGCGTGTGGACCTCTTATATAAACCAGAAAAACATTCCCTTGAGATGGGTAGCGAGCGTTANAGCTTTACTTCTGCCCGCGTCGATGGCCTACCCTGGCCTAAGCTGACTCAGAGTGTGTAAGGTAACGGAACGGTAGGAGAGTCTTTTTTTCTCACCCTAGAGCAGTAGCCATGAGTGCAGCGTGGACAATCGCACAGAACAATGAACCTCCCCAGAGATATCCATGCTGTTATCCTTAACTTTGATTGCGTGTGGACCTCTTATATAAACCAGAAAAACATTCCCTTGAGATGGGTAGCGAGCGTTAGTATTCTCAGGGTGCATTTCTTTGCAAGGGGTCCTGTCATTGCTTCCTTCGTAGGAAATAAGAATTCAGTAAACAATGGGCAAAGTGTTTACTGTGAGCCCATTCAAGTTAGATAGAAGCGCTCAGAATACTAATCTCTAAGCCGGAAGGAATCAAACATGGGTGGCCAGAGGCTTTTAGGAAAACAAGTATCAAAGGAAAACCAAATTCTCAAAGAATTAGACGACTGGACAGGGAAATCCATCATGATGACAGAGAATGAAACGAGCCTTGAAATCAATTTTCCTCTATAATACACAAGCAGAAGATGGTTCCGAAAACTGAGTGAGTACAGCTTTGAAAATTTTAGTTCCCTCAGATGACCACTATGACCAACCCACTGAGTTGATGAAGCTTCACAACTACCTTTTTTGAACGATCGCCCCATTCAATCCTTCTACCCATGCAAGTTGAACACCCCTCCTCCGATCCTTCGCTGCACCCCCACCATGACTGACAAATGGCAGCCACCGACTTTTCTTGTGGCCTCCCTTCCCTTAATCGATATCTCGCTACAGCTGCGCCCTCGAAGGCCGATGCGTGGGCCAGCAGAACACGTCAGATCTTCCAGCTACCAACCAGCCCTAAACATCTTCACAAACAAATATGAAGTTAGAAATATTTATGAACACATAAAATACACAATGAGGAGATCTATGTATGTATAAGTACAAAATCGCGACAATACTTCACTCAAGAAACACCATCATGATAAGGGCCAGTAAACATAGGGAGCTCTACACACAAGAATTAACAACATGAAAACTAGGAAAAACGAAAACCACAGACAAACAAGGGTAGAAAAATTCAATCATCATTTGGCGGACTAGGACTGTGCGACCTGGAACGCGATCTCATGTCTGCATCACCGTTGGCCGCAGGTGAAGCTGAACGGTTGGATCCATCACGAGAGCTGAAACAAAGAAGAGAAATTCAGCATTCAACGTGACAGTGAGACCAGACACTTACTGGCTCCTTGAGCGGGACTTCGATTTCGACTTGCTACCATCTTCAGCGTCACCGTTCTTCTGTGGAGAAGCACTGCGTGAGCGAGTAGCCGAACGCGATCTCGAGCGAGATCTGCTGCGACTCCTTGAGCGCGAACGGCTTCTTGATCTCGAACCAGAGCGACTGCGGCTAAAAAGATTTCATAGAATGTCGTTAAAAGACATAATGTCAAGCGGTTAAGTGAAAGAATCATACCTGCGGCTTCTTGAGCGCTTCCTATCACGAGAGCGACTGCGACTGCGCTTCTCAGAATCATCAATCAACTTGAGCTTGCGACCATTCACATCTTCACCTTGAAGCTTGTCTAGAGCACGCTCCAGATCTTCACGAGTAGCAAAGCATACAACCCTGAATAGGTGGATGTTTATTACTGGAAAGAGAACGCGTCAAGATTGACTCACCCCTCATTTCTTTCATTCTTGTGGGCATCAGCGAAGGTTACTTCACAACCAGCTTTGCGCATCAAATCTTTCAGATCCTACAAATACTGAAATTTAGCCGAATACCCAATAAAGGTAAACTAAAGCCTACAAGTGATAGAGGAAGGGAACAGCTAAATAGTGCGTACACAGCATTGTGTGGTGTGATCAGGATTGAGAGCAGCATGTCTTACTGATACCATACCTTGCGTAATTAGTCCGTTTCACAACAAAACCAACCTACAACAAAACTTCCTGCAAGCCATTCACACCACACCTTTGACACTTGTTATACAAGAGTTCCCAAGCCGATGTTCCTACATATTTCATACGTCTCTTCATTGCCAACCGCCCTCACACAATGACAAGCTTAGCGAATAATAGGTTTTTCCCATGATACCAGCAAGAAAACGCTACTGCTTATCTCACTTCTCCTTGCCATGCAATGCTGTGTAACACTTGAAAAAGCGTAAGACTCATACGCGCCTAAGTGAGGCAGTTGACACGGCCTCAAAACTAATCTTACGCATGGTATCTTATCGCGCCACTATATTTTTCACATGTCTACTAACCGTTCTTTGTTCGATTTGATAAAGGCACCGTCACGACCTCGTCTCAACGGGAGATGTCACAGACCCTCGCGAGTACCCAGAGCGGCGGACACGTCAACTCGGACAGATTATCGGACGTTTTCACTGGCGGCCGGCGCACACGCGATACGAACCGTCTGCCATGACACCGCCATACGCGCGCTACTTCGACTTTCAACACCGCCAGGCCGACACGTTGGCGATCGATGATCACGCCGCCATCAAACACGGTCGCTCGCTCACCGTACGTCAACGAGCTAGGATGCTGTTTTAGTGAAAGAAAATTGGGCCAAACACTCAAAAAATAATAAAAAGTGTTGATCCCAGCGCCCCGACGCACACAGAGCAGATGCGATTCGTGGTACACCACAACGTGCTCACATCACGTACACGACTTCCTGAAATGATTAGAAAAGACTTTCATTGAAAAGTATTACCTGCCAAGAGATACGGGTTGACAAATTTTCGACGATCATACGATGACGTGTCTGTGTTGGAGGACCATATCTGGAACTGAAAACATGAAACATAGATGAGGTAATGGAAATACTTCAGGATAAATGCAGTACTCTGAGCTCTGTCCTCCTGCTCGTTTGCGTTGAAACCCACCAGCCCTATAACTTGCATTTTCACAATATCTACAATAATTAAACCCGAACACAACAACAAATGTGCACATCATTGGACATGGACAGATAACACAACATTGAAGGATGTAATGTCAAATGAATCCAGCCCTCAACCCAAACTCTCCTAAGCTGCGATCACACAGGCCTTGAAATATGAAAAGCGATTCATGGAGCAAGGAACACGCCAATCCTCTAATTTCGTTCCAATTTTAGCACTGCGCAAAAGACACAAAGCTAAATAACTAACTTTACTGCAAATAGATGCTTAACGGTACTCGCAATAGCTACTCAAGGGAAGCAAAGAGGCACTTGGGTTAACGAGTGACGCGAATGACGCATGCACCCAAGTATGGGAGTCTATCCAATCCCTATCTATGCCCAAAACCTTTTAGTTTAGCTGACGATCCTTAAGATGCAAGCCCAACACGCAGAAAAAAAAAGAGGCTGCACTCTACTTGCTCGTTGTTGAACGCTTGAAACATTCTACACTACTGAGTTTTCGAAAAAAGTCAACGAACCTTGCATCTCTTCTTGGAGGTGGATAACGATCAAAGCCACGTCCGCCTCCACCGGATCTTGGACCACGCTTTGAGAACTCCAACATTACTCGTTCACCAGCTAATTCTTTTCCATTGAGATCGTATACTGCATCATCAGCATCCCGCGGCTCATCAAATTCCTGCAAAAAGTTTCGTTAACAAACAACGAAACAACACGATCAATAATGCATTAACTCACCACAAATCCGAATCCATTCTTCAGAACGATATCACGAATACGTCCGTAACCACGGAAGAAGTGTTCGATATCACGTTCAGAAGCACGATACGACAAATGACCAATATATACTCGAGTAGCCATGACAGACGAAAAGCAAGCACCTCACAAGAGCACCTGACCAACAATGATGGTAGCGGGGCGCTTGCAAGTGCGCGTGCGGCGTTTCGAGTCAATGCGGGCGGGTCCCGCCAAGTTGCTGATTACGGTAGCTTAGAACTCTTTTTCGAATGCAGGCTTATACAAAGTTTATAAGGCAGGATGGGGCTTAATTTACTCCGATTTTTCCGCAGTATTCGAGTCATACGGAGAAGATTGACTGTGCTTGGAATTGAGAGCAGGTATGTCAAGCAGCTTTAGTCGTTTAATAACAACTTTCACGCATTAGAAACTTTTTCCACCGATTTTCAAAAATTCCACCTTTTCCACCGGTTTTTAAAAATTCTTTGGGTTCTATT